TGAGGAAGAGTATGTGGGGATAGGGGAGGGAGCGCTAAAGAAACAGAATTAGAACAATCCAACAGTGTCTGCCACGGTCCCCATTTTCCCCTTAAAACACAGCTTCACAGCTATGGCTGCACAGGAAGCAGGTGGCACCTCAAAAAGTATATAAAGGGGGATAGAGATGGAACTCAGCAGGCAGTGTGCTTGCCTAGCACGCAGGAAGCCTTGGGTTTGATTCCCAGCACCTCATAAACCGGTGTGGTAATACATGCTATCATCCCAGTACTTGAGAGGCAGAGGCGGGCGGATCAGGAGTTCAAAGTTATTTATTGCCCAGGGTTAGCCCAGGGTATATAAGAGCCTGTCTCAAACAAACAAGAGAAAGGAGAGGGAAACTCATTCTGACAATAAACACAACATTTGGGCCTGGAGAGATGGCTCGTTGGTTAAGAGTCTTGCTGCTCTTGCAGAGGACTGAGGTTCAGATCCCAGCACCCATGTTGGGCAGCTCCAACCACCCACAAGTGCGGTTCCAGAGGATCTAGTGCCCTCTTCTGGCCTTTGAGGATTACCTGCTCCCCAATAAAAAAGTCTTACCAACAACAATCAACATCAACAGGAGTGCTTCCAGGGCATGTCTCCAACATGTGCTCTGCAAGATGTCCACAGGAACTGGGTACAACGGGGTACCAAGGTCAGTCATGGCGGGAACAGCTGGGTTATATAAATTTAAGTTCTTTCCTCTTTCTCTCGCTCCCTCCCTCCCTCCCTCCCTCCCTCTTTCTTCTCTTCCTCTCCCTTTCCCTCCCCCACCTCTCTCTCTCAATTGAGTCTCAGATTTTTTTTTTTTTTACTTTTTCAATGAGAGTGTATCTTGTGATTCTCTGAGAGGTCTAGGTTAGCCTTCAATTGCTGTGTAGCTGAGGCTTGCTCAAATCTGATCCTCCAGCCTCTGCTTCCCAAGGGCTGAGATTCCAAGGCATGTACTATTATGCCTAGAGTATGCAGAACTGAGGACTAAACCCAGAACATTCTGCATGAGAGGCAAGCTCTCTACCAATTTGGTTACATCCCCAGCCCTTTTTATTTATTTATTTAACTTTAAAAACCTTTTCCTAGTATCTAATTATATAGCATCTCATCTGAAAACCGATATGCTATGGGTGTATGTGCATATTCGGGCTCCAGGGTTTGTGTTTTTTAAGTATAAAGGCCTCCATTAGGAAAAAGCATCCTTTGGGGCTCCTTCTCCAGCACAGGCAGAGGGAGGGTGACAGGACGACCAAAGGGAGAAAGTGTGCCAAGCAGAGCATCATGGGTGGTAAGGAGGAACAGTGCCGGGTTTGCAGCTCTGGCCTCTCGGCTGGGAGTCACGGAGAGCAGAGAGCTGTTTTCCTCGGCCCAGGATGTTCCCTCTCAGGTTCTAATGCTGCCCTCAGGCTCCTGTGATGGAGGGGGACGGAGGTCATCAGACTTCGTCTACAAGGTTTGCGCCTGTGACTTCCATAAACCTCCCATTGGCAAGGTTTGGTGGGGAGGTGGTGGAAGCTGGCCCAGCTGAGGAGTATGAATCTCGTCCGGCGGTAAACACCCTCAGGGCTGCTGCAGCCCACTGGAAGAATTGCTCCTAGGGCTCCTACGTTTTCTCAAGCCCCGAGCAGGCGAATTGGGCACACAGAGATCCCCTTGCTCCTCACAGTGCCAGGTTTCCAGAGGCCCCGCCCAGAGCCAGGAAGAGGGGTGGGGCTGTGAAGGCGGGCCTGCTTTCTCGGTCTGACTCTGACCTGGCCCACGCAGCTTAAATAGAGAGAATGGCCTTGCTTTCTCTCAGAGCTGAGGATCATTCTCGGGGCCTCATCATGTCATGCAAACTCTAGGCCCAAGGAGCCATTTCACCCCATGAGACTTCCTACAGCCTTGATGAGGAATTCAAGTTTGGGTCATAGTGAGAAGAAGAATGAGAATCCCATGTAGCCCCTGAGGATGGGGGCTCACGTGGGATCCTGTTCTTGTCTCATGGAATGTGAGGCCTCATTGACCTACACTGAGAGAATCCCAGGCCTCCCTAACTGGGAGGGGAGGGGCTGGCTACTCTTCCCTTCTTGGTGGTTCGGGGAATAGAACCCAGTTCCTCACACTTGCTAGGCGAGTGACCTATCACTGAGCTACAGCCTCAGCCCTCTTCTTTTCTTTTTTATTTTGAGACAGGGTCTCACTTTGTTGTTCAAATTGGCCTTAAACTCACTCTGTAGCTCAGGCATGTCTTGAACTTTTGATTCTCCTACCTCAGCCTCCCAAGAAGCTGGGCTTACAAGTCTGTGCCACCAGATCCACCTTGGAGGGATCTCCCTTTAATGGGGGGAGATGGAGAGATAGTTGGTACCCAGAGTCATGCAGGGAGTTAGCGATTAATCCCCAGCTAGCCAAACACAGGGCTATTTCTTTCCCTGTCCCATCTCTTGTGACTCAGAAGTGGCCTAAGAAGTCAGTTAGTTACATTACCATCAGAACAGGGCTCCTCATGTTCATGGTCTGTGCTCTCGCTGGAAACCGTGTGGAAGCCCACAATCTGTGCTCCCGCTGACTGTGAAGAACAAGGAAGCTACTTTTGCAGTTACTGATGATTGCAGATGCACAGCTGAGAAATTGGGGCATGGAAGGCTTCTGTGACAATCCTATCCCCAACCCAACACCCCTCCCCAAAAGTAACGGCCCAAACAGGAAGCCATGGAAGAGAACTCTTGAAAAGTGTGATAAGGATGCTGAAGTGTTACTCTCAATTAATGACTTCTGGCAGGGGTGAGAGAGAGGACTCAGTTCCATTTAAGGGACAAACTACTGAGAGTTTAACTCTGCTCCAGTGAGTATAGAGATAACACAAAGTGGACTTTTTGTGTGTGGGGGGGGATGGGGGTGCTCACATGGAAGGACTGAGAAGTGAATGTGATCGGGGTGTGTGATGTAAAATTCCCAAAGAATCGATACAATTATTATGTTGAAGAAACAAACGAACCACGGCTCCCATTGCGTTTTCTTGGTTGTCATAATTACTGTTTCCAGTGCAAAGGGAAACACCCCTGAGAACTTGGAATTGTTCTTGATTTTCTTTTTTTCTTTTTCTTTTTCTTTTTTTTTTTTTTTGGTTTTTCGAGACAGGGTTTCTCTGCGTAACTTTGAGCCTTTCCTGGAGCTCACTTGGTAGCCCAGGCTAGCCTCGAACTCACAGAGATCCACCTGGCTCTGCCTCCTGAGTGCTGGGATTAAAGACATGCGCCACCACACCCGATTTTCTTTTAAAACTCAACTCCAGAAAAAAAAAATCTAAGATGAGATGGCTTAGTAGGATTGTTCTTTCATGACCCTGCTCTCTAAATGTTGGGTAAAGAAAGGCTACGTGGAGTGAGGGGCGGTAACTCAGTAGAACGCTTGCCTAGCAGGCATGACGCCCTGCATCTGACTCACAGGACTGTATCAACTGGGCATGGGCACACACACACATCTGTAATCCTAGCAAGTAGAGCGGGGGCCATCAGGAGTCCAAGGCTACATAATGAGTTTGGGCCCTTCCTGGGCTACATGAGATTCTAGAGAGAGAAAGAGAGAGAGAGAGAGAGAGAGAGAGAGAGAGAGAGAGAGAGAGAGAGAGAGAGAGACCCTCCCTACAACTCTGCTCAAAGGCACAGGGATGTGCAGATGTGATATTCTCAGTGATCAATAAACGTCATAGGACTGAGCCCTCAGCTGGGAAGTCAGGCTTGACTGAGCTCTGCTCTGAAGCAGGCAGCACCAGCCAGCTGAGTTTCTCTTGCATAACTGGAAATCAAATACCCTGTCCCAGAATTCCCATTGCAGTCCCAGAGGGCGGAGCCAGGCCCGCTGTGTGGTGCTGGAGCATCCTTCCCATTGAGGAGACTGAAGGACAGTGACCTCCACCTGGGCTTTCACGTCCCCGAAGTTGCATTCTGAGGGTGCCAGGGGGAAGGAAGGAGGCCTTGGCAATGTCTGCCCCAACTCTTTAACGTTGCTGAGCCTGTGCCCCGCTGGGCCCTGGCCTCACTCTTCTGAGACTTGGTTATGAGCTGGGTGACAGACAACAGGAACACTGCTGGAGGGGGGTGAGTTACGATCCAACACGGGAGGGAAGCTGCACAGCGAAGCACAGCACACACGCGAGTTCAGCTCTAGGGCACAGCTGACTTCATGCCAAAGCTCAGGACGAAGGGATGCTGAGAAAGTTGGCTGATGGAACCAGCAAGTCCAAGTGTCCCAGAGAAAGAAATGTGGGAGGGAGAGATTCAAGGAATTTGTACAGCAAAATAAAAACGAAGCAGATGTGACGCAAAATCAGCTATGAAGAAATACCAGCTGTAAATCGTATTAAAAATAGTCATTGGGCAGGGCAGTGGTGCTGCACACCTTGGATCCCAGCACTCAGGAAGCTGAGGCAGGTGGATCTCTGTGAGTTCAAGACCAGCCTGGTCTACAGAGTGAGTTCCAGGACAACCAAGGCTACTCAGAGAAACATTATTTTGAATAACAAAAAACAAACAAACAAAAAATAGTTATTGGATAAGCCCAGGATAAAGTTTAGTCGGGGGCAGGGAGGGGGGCCTTGAATACAATGAGTGAGGTAATAGAGGATTGAGGCCTTCACCTGGAAACATGCAAAAAGCTTTTAAAATGGAAGAAGTGAGTACTCAAGCCTGAAGGGGACATCTATATCACCCTCTCCAAGGCTGAAATGTCCTGAAAGAGGAGATAGCAAGGATGTAAGAGCTGGACACCCCTCCATCCTCAGCCCCTACCATCCACATGTATGCCCCCCACCCCTGTGAATGCATGCACACACACACATACACACACACACACACACACACACACACACACGAAGAGGGAGACTTGTGGGTCAGAGGGCTAGACGTAATGGGAGGGAGACAAGTGACGGCAATGGCCAGGCTGAATATGATCAGAATACATTATATACCTGTATGCAGTTGTTAAAAAATAAATGAAAAATCATTTCAGTGCAAGCAGTCCCTCGATCACGGAGGGAGTTTTCCCAGGGTGAGGCCCAGCCACTGCAATCCAGATCTTCTGACCTGAAGACTGTCCTCAAATGTGGGACACTCTATTGTGTAGTTTGTGGTAGTGGGGGAACTGTGTTACAACTTTCCCCTATTAAATAAAAAGAATAAAATGCAAGAGAGAACTTAGACAATTCAGCTTGACTGAGCGGCTGTAGGAAATATTGAACTCAATGAATCCCAGAGGAAGAGACAGCAGAAAATCCCTCGAAGAGATCATAACAGTTGCCTTTCCTTCTGGATTTGAAATCAGTACCAACTGGACAGACAGTGCAACACGGTCCTTCCCAGGTGCACCTGTGTACCTGTGTGCAGCTTACCTTTGCTGCCAACGTGGGGTACACAATGGGTATGTAGAGCTATGCTGTCTTACTCACTGGTTGCCTCTGTGACAGGTGTGACACCGGGTGAGGCCACTGGCTGGGAAGCCCATGCGAAGCTTTTTCAATGACATCCGGTCAAAAGTGGTGCAGGCGCTTCGGTCTCAGGCCGGAATCTCCCAGTCTTGGTAGCGTCTGACTTACCGAGGATTCTCCTAGTTTTTGTGGTGAAAGTCCCATGTGTTGGGCAACCCCCTCAGTCCCTGGCAAACTGCATAGTGGGTTACTCTAGGTCAACTGCATAAACGTTGGAATTTGACAGATGGCAGTTTGAATTCCATCTCTACACTTTATTGACTATGTGTGTGTTTCAGCTTTCTTATCTGCAAAGCCAGCAGGCTGGCTAAACGGTGGCTTGTCTAAACTCCACATGACAGACACTCAAGAAATGTCAGCTTTGGGGATGGAGAGACGGCTCAACAGGTAGGAAGAGTGTGTGCTGCTCCTCCAGAGGATCCAAGTTCGGTTCCCAGTACCGGCCTGTAGCTCTAGTTCCAAGGGATCCAATACTCTTAGCTTCCTTGGACATCTGCACACAGGCAACATTCACACACACACACACACACACACACACACACACACAACCTTGAACTATGTTAACTGTTGTTATTTGTATCATATTGCAGTTTATGTTTCCTGGGCCTGGTTTCAGAGGCCATGAACACCAGGATTAAGGGCAGCCATGTCATCCTAGCTACAAAACATGACTGCTTAGCAAAATCAGCTGAGAAAATCGCTTAAAACTAGATCCTGCTAGGCTGTGTAGCTGGGGGTGGGGATGGAGCGGGTGAGTGCTTGCCTGGCTTCAATTCTCAGAATGTAGAAACAATACAAAACACCTTAGATCCCCAGGGCACTGTCCCTAAAACCCCCTTTTTAACATGTATAACAAGGTCTGTGAGTCTGCAAGAAACCTCTGAGAAACCATTTCGACTCCACCGAAACTTTAGAAAACAGGGTATGCTCGGCAGTTTTGCGGTGTGTGGGTGTTGTGAGCTGTAGCAGGGCTCAGCTGTGGTCAGACCCTCAGAGTTAATGCTAGCTAGCTTGGTCCTCTCCTAGGCAGGAGGGAGACAAAAGCCCATTGTTTGTTCTTTCCCTAGGACGTGAGCCTGTCTGAGGATGAAACTTCAAAGCAATTCCTTGAGACCCCTAAAGATGGCTAATCCCCAGGCAGAATTCCTTTTTCTGTCTGTCCTGCTTCCTGACCCGGCTCCTGGCAGCTGTCCCAGGCTCCCACCTCTGCCCAGGGAGGCATTCCCTCCCCATGACCTCATCAGAAACAGTCCCTCCCTAGGGCCGGGACCTCTCACCTCGAATTCTTCTTCATCAGAGGCCCCTGAAGCCAATTGGGAGTGGGCTTCCGCATCCCCGCCTCTCTCTGAGGCACAGTGGAGAGCCGGCTTGGGGCAGTGAGTCATTTTAGGAAGCCATCTGGCTGCTAAATGCTCAGAGATTACCTAACATCCATCAGTTCATTTCCCTCACAGCACCTATGAATGGGTTCCTTAAAGGAAATTGAAAGGGCAAGACACCAAAATAGGGTCCTGGGTGTAGCTCACAATAGAGTGCTTGCCTAGCAGGCATGAAACTCAGGGTTTGATCCTTAACAGTGCACAAAGCAAGCTTGCTGGGTAAGGCAGGCCTGCTCATGCTTGCAGAAGGACCAGAAGAAGTTCAAGACCATCCCTGGGTACACAGGGGAACCGAAGGCCTCTGGGCTACTTGATAACCTTTCTTTTTTTCTTTTCTTTCTTTTTTTTTTTTTTTTTAGACAGGATTTCTCCGTGTAGACTTGATAACCTTTCTAAGAGAAGTAAATCATAATTTGAGAAATCTGCAGTAGCACTAGCGAGCTAGAAAAAAAATCATGAGGGCTGGGGAGATAGATGCCTTCGCAGGGAAGAGCGAATTTGCAGAGAACCTGAGATTGAGTCCCAGCTCAAAGCTACCTGTAACTCCAGCCCCCAGAGGTCTGATGCCCTCTTCTGGATTTTGAAAGCACCTACATTCACACATGCGCTGGTGTGGATGTACACACACACACACACACACACACACACACACACACACACACACGCACAATCTTAAAAGACTGATTTCTTTTGGTAAAAAGTCACACACTCAGTCAGCGAGACTGGGATGTGTTCCTTTCACTCATAAACAATAACCGAAGGAAATGGTAAATTTCAGGGGTTTTTGTTCGTTTGTTTGTTTTGCTTTTCGAGTCAGGATTTCTCTGTGTAACAGCTCTGCTTGTCCTGGATCTCACTCTGTAGACCAAACTGGCCTCAAACTCACAGAGATCCGCCTGCCTCTGCCTCCCGAGTGCTGGGATTAAAGCCACCACCGCCCAGCTCCCCCCACCCCCGAATCTAAATCAATAGACCCAGTGAGCTCTACCGGCAGATCCCTTGGGTTCCACAGACCCTCATGAGGAATTCTGGAACCAGATGCCCTGCCATCCAGATTTAGCATTTTGTGGTCATGGAGAGTAAATCTCTCCAAAATGTTCATGGGCTTGTGGAATATCAGTATGCCAAGGAGGGCCCTATCTACAATCGCCCTTTTTTCAAAGAAAGGCCAGGCATGGATGTTGCTGATGGAGAGGGGGGAAGGGATGAAGAAAGGGGTCAGAAGAATGCCAGGTAAATCTCTGTCACCTCCATCCTCCCCATGGTGAACAGGGAAGGGAGGGACCAATCTCCTTACTGACGGAGGCTGCCCCACAGGCCATTCCCTCCACAGATAGTTCAGTTACTGTTATGAACCCAACAGATGAATGGTGTGTGTGTGTGTGTGTGTGTGTGTGTGTGTGTGTGTGTATATGCGTGGTGTGTGTGGTGTGTGTGTATATGTGTGTGGTGTGTGTGTGTATGTGTGTGGTGTGTGTGTATGTGTGGTGTGTGTGTATGTGTGGTGTGTGTGTGGTGTGTGTGTGTATGTGTGGTGTGTGTGTGTGTGGGGTGTGTGTGTGTGTGTGTGTGTGTGTGTGTAGTGTATGCATAGGTACAGAGGCCAAAGGTCAATGTAGGCATTTTTCCATCAGTCTACCTACTACCTTCAGGTTTTCGCTGAATTTGGAATTTACCAAGTGGGCTTGTGTAGCTGTGCGCAATTTTTTTTTTTTTTTTTTTACAGAAGTGCTAGCGGTTCAGTTCAGGTTATCATGTTCGTTCAGCCAGTGCACTTTTTTAAAATCTCCCCAGCCCTTAGAAGGGCTTTCTACAAATACCAACGACAGCGCATAGGTCCTTAGACCAAGATATTTTCATTTCTTGTGTGTGTACGCATGTGTGTGTGTGTGTGCATGAAGTGCATGTTGGTATCTTCCTCAGTTGCTCCCCACCTTATTTTTTGAGGCAGGGTCTCTCATTGAACTTGGAGCCCAATAGAATGTCCTGGATGGTGAGACTCAAAGATCCGACTTCTGTCGCTGTCTCCCAGCACTGGGATTACAGGTATGATGGAGCCAGGCTTGATATACACAGGTGCTGGAGTTTGAACCCAGGTCCCCATGCTTGCCCTGAAAACACTTTACCAACTGAGCAGCCTCCCCAGCCCCCTCATTCTCATCCCTTGAAGAGCGTGGAGCCAAGTCTACACCAGTGAGACCTGATTTCTGTAAGAATTTATTTTCCGTTTATAAGAAACATGTGCCTCTCACGTTCTTCAGGGAATCTTGACAGATGACAAATTCAGTTGAACACACAAAAAATCAGCTGCCCACAGCAGCAACACCTAAATCAAACTTGATTTCCTATTAGTCAATATTTCATGATCTCATTGATCGCTCCCCTCTCCTGCATCCCTCACTCCAAATCTCTCCTCAGGCAGAATGTCTTGCTTGAGCTAGCCAAGTGAAAGCTACTTGATTTCTCTGACAGGCTGCTCTTGTGTCTTGTGGTGTGGCTTTCTCTGATTGAGTCCTTTGTTCTTTAGCCATCCACCTGCAGGTCATTATTCAGTCCTCAGCGTGTTGGGGAGTGTATGTTGGGGAGCAGGAAGTCCTGTTCACCGAACGCTTTCCACATGTCAGGCACTGTGTGAACACCACTGCGGTCTTCATACGTTAGTTACTTTCTCTTACTGTGATCAAACTCCTGACACAAAGCAACCTAAGGTGGAAGAGTTGATCTTGACTCAGCGCTTGAGAGGGATACAGCCCATCATGGCCCAGAAGGCAGGGTGGTGGGAGTGCCTTGTGGCACCAGTTCTCACACGGACCAGGAAGAGACCTCGGGGCAGAACTAGGGTGACTGTAACTCTCTAGTCCTACCCCAATTGCCCTACATCTAGACTCCATGTCCAAAAGAGTCTACTGAATGAAGAAAAAAAAAAATGAAGCCATGAAGCTCCTAGATGTGGTGGAGGAGAGGGTTTATTGTAGATATGAGGGAGAAAACAGCCAGAAGCATCTGGAAAGGTCCAGACTGAACAGGGCCATGAGGGCCTGGTGAGAGGATTAGAAGAGAGAGGGAGCAAAGAGAGTACTTGGGAACCCAGAGCCCAAGAAACCAAGAGCACCGAGAGGACAAGAGACCACGTGTCCAAAATGGCGGAAGCCCAGCCCCGCCCCTGGGCCGGAGAGTTTAGGGTGGGGGGTAGGGTATGCCAACCAGGAGGACTCTGTCACAGGTACTGAGGGATGCTGGGAGAACCTGGCAGCCAGCGTCCACATTGATATGTTAAATAGGCACCTCAGCCATTTGTCCAGAACTTGAGACCTAACAGCTATGACCTCCCAGAACAGTCACCAGTGGGGACCAAGTGCTGGAACACACGAGCAATCGGGGGTGACACATTTCACGTTGAAACCATAACAGTTTCTCATTTAATTCCCAGAGCCACCTGTGAGGTTGGAGTTTTAAATCCCAGCATCATCTAGAAAGAGTCCAAAGCTGAGCAGGTTCTTAGCCCACACGTTATTAACCAGCAATTAGCTACTTATACATCCAAGGAGGGGAAAATGTGTAATACGATTCTGTTTCTCCAGGAGTATGTTGTACATAGCCGAGGATAGCTACAGGTTCAACTATAGATCTGAGGGATAATTAAGCACCGATGCAAGGGGAAGGCAATTGGGCTTTAAATGCAAGGGGAGATAAGACCATTGTGGACTGGATGGCCGTGAACAGGTGTGCTTATACCAAAGGCCGAAGACGTGGAGGTGGGAAGGGGATGCACAGGAATATCCAGGCATCAGCATAGAGGACTCAGAGGGCTAGAATAAAAAATCAGATGTAATTTGGGAAGGGTGGAGCATGGCACATGGGCACAGACCCCCCAGAAAGAGGGTGTTTTCAGCACGATGCCTTATCGACAGGAATGGCTAGATATGAAGAGATCGAGTGCCACGGGTGTGTGGGTGGAACAGGATTGTCAGAAGTGGTCAGGCTGGGGGATGGGGGGATTTGATTGTCAGGTTAGGCATGTCCTCTCCTAGGTAGATACTGGAATCCAGAGCTCTGGGATCTAGACCACACATCAAGGGAGTCAAGTGATTAATCTGGACTCTTTATTTGGAAAGCATGCCTTAGCTTTCAGTCATGTAATCAAAATTCAAGCTAACACAGAATAATCAAGGTCCCTCCCCTATCCCCAGTCCTGGGGATTAAGCTTAGGGCTCCTTCACTGAGCTTCATCCATTCCCAGTCCCCCTTTTTTTTTTTTTTTTTTTTTTAAAGATTTATTTATTTATTATGTATACAGCATATGTGACTGCAGGCCAGAAGAGGGCACCAGATCTCATTACAGATGGTTGTGAGCCACCATGTGGTTGCTGGGAATTGAACTCAGGACCTCTGGAAGAGGAGTCAGTGCTCTTAACCCCTGAGCCATCTCTCCAGGCCCCCTCCCCTTTTTTTTTTTTTACTAGTATTGTATGTATGAGTGTGTGATGTGTGTGCATGTTCATGGGGGATGGAAGGTGGGTACACCTGAGTATGGTGTGTGTATGGAGGTTCAGAGGACAATACTAGGTGTTAGTTCTGGGGTGACTTTTTGATTGAGACAGCATCTTTTACTGGCTTGGAACTTCACCACATAGGTTAGGCTAGCTGGCCTGTCAGCTTCTAAGATCCACTGGTCTCCCCCTCAGATCTCACTCAACAATGCTGGGAATACTGGCATGTGTCACCAAATCTGGCTTTTTATGTGAGTTCTGGGGATCAAACTTAGGTCCCTGTTATACAAGCATTTACCAACTAAACCAACTCCGAGTCCATTAATTTTTAAAATTTATTTGAGACAAGAGCTCACTAAGTATTCAGGCTAGCCTTGAACTTATGATAGTCATGCCTCGGCCTTCCAAATAGCTGGGATTGTAGACCTGTGCCAATGAGCCCAATACCACATTTTTTTTTAAAAGTATAATTATGTGTCTAAAGCCTGAGTATCTTGTAATACAAAAGTGATCAAGTGAATGTGGGAAATGGAAATGGTGGAGCTGGGGAGGTTGGGTGGCAGGCTGTTGAGATAACTATGGTGAGAACAGACCAAAGATGTGGAGCCATGTGTGCAGATTCCCAAGATGCCTTAGAAGCAGGATGCTCAGGGCATGGTGATTGACGAGGGTTAGGGCCTAGGGAGAGGGAGGTGCCAAGGACAATTAATGCCCGGGCTTCTGGCTAGGACAACTGGATAAAGACTGAGATGAGGGAGGGCAGAGCAGGAGCCAGTGTGAGGCAGGAAGCAATCAATTCCATTTTCAACACAGGGAGATTGGCATCTAACTGAAGTATGCACTGCGCAGTTGGCTGTGGGTCCAACACTCGGGAGAGAGACCTCACTAGAGGCATAGATTTGAGAAGCACCAGCTTAAAGATGTAAATGCAGGCAGGCACGGGAACGGACAGCCTTGTCCTGCAGAGCTATGCAGAGTGAGATGTGGGGCTTAGGATAGAGGCTGGAGGCACCCTAACATGGAAGGTCTCATGCCTCCAGGTGCCCTGCAAAAAAATCCTTCCCCACTAAAAACCAGTGTTGTCTGTGTGAGGGGTGGAATATGGCTGAAGTGACAATTAGGACCTAAAAGGTACTGCCTTGTCTTTCGTATTGCTCACTCAGGGGAAGTCAGTGTCACATCACAAAGACACATGAAGAAGGCCTGTAGGGGAGATAGCTCAGCCAGTGACTGCTATTCAAGCATAAAAACTCGTTAGACCCCAAGAACCTGTGTAAAAAATCAGGCACTACATACTTGTAATGTCAGGTCTGGGGGGTAGACAGGTAGATTCTTGGGGTTTGCTGGACAGTCAGCTTGGTTTACTTGGTGAGTAGTCCTAGGCCAATGAGAGTCCTTGTCTTTAAAAACCAAGATGGCCAGGTGGTGGTGGTGCACAACTTTAATTCCAGCACTCATGAGGCTGGGGCAGGTGGATCTCTGTGAGTTCAAGGCCAGCCTGATCTATAGAGAGAGTTCCAGAACAGTCAGGGCAACACAGAGAAACCCTATCTCGAAAAACAACAACAAAAAACAAGACAAAACAAGATGGATAGTACCCAAGGGATAATAAGGTTATCCTCTGGTCTCCACATGCATGGGCACATACATGAGCATGTGTGTACATAAACACATACATTAAAAAGAAGCCCCGTGGAAAGGCCCACATGGAGAGAAACTGAGGCATTTGGATATCAGTGCTGATTTGCATTTCTCAGGAGCCCATCCTGGTGTAGATGCAGACACCATAGCCCCAGGATGCATTCAGGCACAGCCCCTAACCCAGGATGCATTCAGGCACAGCCCCTAACCCAGGATGCATTCAGGCACAGCCCCTAACCCAGGATGCATTCAGGCACAGCCCCTCACAGACACGACTGTGATTTAATGACAGACCCTGAACCAGAGCCTGTAGGGGAGCTGCTCTGGAATTCCTCACCCACAGGAATCCTGAGACATAACAAGCTAGTACAGTGGGGGCAGGTTTATTACGCAACAATAAGCTCTTATTGACATCTCGGACACTTTGTGGGGTCGTAGGTGGCTTCACCCATCCCCTTAGACAGCAGTCTGGTTGCAACTGCATCTCAAAAGGTGTGGACGAACCAGTTGTGCATTTGGTTGAGATACTGGGCCACATGCTCAGACATCCTGCTGTGGGCAGAGCCTGTTTCACAGGCAGATTGATAACCCGGTGTAGACAGTGTTTAGTGGGAGCTTCTTGTGAAGAGCTTTCCTGATGCTGTAGTTTCATGATGTAATGCTGATGGAAGTGAACTTGAACAGCTTCACATCGCATAATTAATGACATTCCATTTCCATGACAACGCCTAATTAATCATGCCTGTTCCCATGAACTTTTAGCTTGTGGGAGTCCTGGCTCACACGGGACAGTAAATTATGTTGGCTTGGCTTTTCGCATTTTCTTTGAAACAGGGTCTCATGTAGCCCAGGCTGACATTCAATGTGCTTCGTAGCTAAGGGTGATAGTGAACGTCTTATCCTTCTGCCTTTACCTCCAGGGTGCTGGAATTAGAGGTGTGCACCATCTCACTCAGTTTATGCAGTGTTGGGGATCAAACTCAGAGCTCCACGCCTGCTAGGCAATCACTCTATCTACGGAGCTACATCCCAGCTCCAACCTATAGTTTTTTGAAGGCAGAGATAGGTGGGTGCTGCTTCTGAGGACCCCTGGACCGTAAGTCTGACACCAGGATTTATCGGTCCCCAAGGTGAGAGTTTAGCCTTCCACACCTGCTTCCCCTTGCAGCATACTGCCTGGGACATCACACCAGCTCATTAAATATTTGTGAGTACATAGCAAATGTTGAATAACTAATGAGCCTGTGCTCTGCCTCCTCTTACCTTACTCACAGTGAAGACAACCGTTTGGAAGGTTCAGCCTGTTCGAGTTCTGCAGAGGGACATGGAGGAAGTGTGTCACAGAGGGCACATCTGATGGTAGGAATCTCCCACACTCTGAGCACATGGAATCGGAGGCCACAGACCTGGGATCTTCTCCAATACTTCTCTCCCTTTTGAGAGCACCGGTAGGAAAATGTCAACAACCACGGAGGGAACATTTGAAGACATCTAGAACATTTGAAGAAGGGCCTCATGGGCAGAGGTAGAGAGTCTTCGGTGAGACCTATTCTTAGCCAGTGAAGTCCTTCTGGTTTCATTTTGTGACCAGGAGTTTCCAAGGCTTTCTCTCATGAAGCCATAGTCCAGTGCTCACTGTGGCTCCAGCCACTAGTTCACAAAGATTCATCTCCAAGAATGGCAAGTCCCCACTGACTGCTGGCCAGGGGTCTCAAGTTTCTCTCCATATAGGTCTTTCTACAGGGCTTCTTTAAAAACAAAACAAAACAGAACATTTTAAATATCTCTTTATCTATTTAGTGTGTGTGTGTGTATGTGTGTGTGTGTGTGTGTGTGTGTGTGTGTGTGTGTGTGCCTGTGGAAGAGAGCAGGCACACCCCTGCACACGTGTGGAGGTCAGAGGACAGCTTTGGGGAGTCAGTTCTCTCCTTCCATCATGGAGTCTCAGGGAATTGACTCAGGCATCCTCAGGAAGCATCTTTACTTACTGAGCCATCTGCTGGCCCTACTTGGCTCCTTAAACGTCTTTATAGGAGGCTGGCTTCTTCAGAGTGAGCGATGCAGGGTCCTGAGGCTCAAGTGGCAGTGGCTAGCAGCTGAGAGACATTAGCTTCCCAAAGAGGCTTAGCCAAGTGTCCCTCAATCCACTGCAGGGAGGCACCTTGATCTTCCAGTCACTCTGTGGATTTGTGCCTGGCCCTGGCTGTTACCATCATTTCCACAAAGAAGCAAACCAGTTTTTCCCACCCCCACATGTTGGCCACTGCAGGGCCAGAAAGCCAAATGCCAAGCTGGGCCAAACCATTCCTGGTTCATCCCCTAGGTGATTTTGAGCTCATCACGAAGACTTGGTGACAGGGGACAGGAGATAGAGCTGAGGGACTGCTGGGCAGGGGGAAGTGTGAGATCCTGTGCGCACTGGGTGGCCATGGCCACCACAACTCTTCAGCCTCCATGATGACTTGCAGATAAGCCCAGGGAGATGGATGGCTGAGGATTGACAGGGCCACTTGTCCCGGATTTGGGTAGTCTGGGGACACTGGGCCACCTGCTGCTGAACTACTCCTAGTAAGAACGCGTGTTTCTGAAATTAGACACCTCACGATGCTAGCCTTCACCCCTCCATTTATAAGTGACCGAGGCAGCTGGTCTTGGAAAGGAAAACACAACACAGCACAACTGTGTCCGGATCAGCTCAAAGGCTGGGGGTGAGATGGAGAAAGGGGCCCTTCTGATGCTCACAGATGCTACTCTGTGGGTCACAGTTTGAACTCACAGATGCCCTCGGCTTACTCCCTCTGCTCTATAACAATGTCCTTCCTTCCTTCCTTCCTTCCTTCCTTCCTTCCTTCCTTCCTTCCTTCCTTCCTTCCTTCCTTCCTTCCTTCCTTCCTTCCTTCCTTCCTTCCCCATCCCCTCCCTTTCTTTTTGATGAAGACTCATGTGTGTCAGACTGGCCATAATTTCCCTATGAAACCAAAGATGACCATGAACTTCTGATCCTCCTGCCTCCACCTCCCAAGTGCTAAGATTGCAGGCATACATCACCATGCCTGGTTTATGTGGCGCTGAGGAGCAAACCCAAGGCTTTGTGCATGCTTGGCAAGCGCCTTATCCACTGAACTGCACCCCTAGCCCAGATCCTCTTTCTATAAATGATCTGCTCTCAGTCATGTCCATCCGAGGGAGAACTCAAGCCATGTAAGCCTTTAGCTTGCAACACTCGACCAACCTACTTTGATTAATCACATGATTCAGGGTACATTTTGCCTAATTCAAAGAAATTCTAGTGCTAATGTTTTAGGAACAATGATCTACAGCTTTATTTATATTTATTTATTTATTTATTTATTTATTGAGTTTTTTCGAGACAGGGTTTCTCTGTGTAGTTTTTGTGCCTGTCCTGGATCTCACTCTGTAGACCAGGCTGGCCTGGAACTCACAGAGATCCGCCTGCCTCTGCCTCCCGAGTGCTGGGATTAAAGGCGTGCGCTGCTGCTGCTGCTGCTGCTGCTGCCGCCGCCGCCGCCGCCGCCGCCGCCACCACCACCTGGCGAAATAAAATAAATCTTAATACAAAACATTCAAACTTATATAGATTAAGCTTTTAACTTTGTAACTTTAGGAAGTTAGAAGGAACAAATAGAATATTTTAACCATATTCTTTGATATTTTCATACATATATACAGAGTATCTGGATCATATCCACCCCAGCTCCTCTTCCCCCACTCCACCTGGACCCTCCAAGCACAACTCCTTCCCACTTTCACACCTTTTTTTGCACAGCTTACTAAGTCTAGTTAGTGTGGCCTGTGTGCACAAGAGTGTGGTTCAGACCAGCCACCTGAACAACACGAGTTTCCTGACGTGAGGATCTGCAGAGAAAGTGTGTGTGCCGGAGAAGGGCTCAGTGGATAAAATGCCTTCCATGGGTGTGTGAAGACCTGAGTTCATGTCTCCAGGGGAACGTACAACTGGGCACAGTAGTGCCTACAGCTGTAATTCCAGCACTCCTGGAAGCCTGGGTGGGGGCTCATTAGCCTGGTATATAAAGCAGGGAGCAAGAAACCCTATCTCAAACAAGGTGAAGGTGAGGAAGAATACCTGGGGTTGTCCTATGACCTGCAAACATCCCCCCAACAGATTAATAAAATAAAAAATGAAAACATAAGTAATGCCCCTTTGGCTTTTGTGTGTTGTGTGTGTGTGAGTGTGGGCACATACATGACACAGTGCTCATGTGGAGGTCAGAGCACAGCACTCTGGAGCCAGTTCTCACTGATCACCTTGCTTTGAGGCAGGGTCTCTCGTGTTTCTGTTGCTTTGCGGCACATACACTTCAGGCTGGCCGGACAGCGAGCTTCAGGTCTTTCTCCTGTCTTCCCTCCCGTTTCCCTGGGAAACTGCTGGAGTACGGATGCCAACTGCTGTCTTCAGCATTTATTATTTATTTTTATTTTTATCCTGGTGTGACTGGACTCTGGATAGCCTGGGAATTGAACCCAGGTCCTCTGGAACATCAGTCAGTGCTCTTAACCACTGAGCTGTCTCTCTCTGGCTTGTCTGCAGCATTTTCACATGGGCTCTGGGGATCCAAACTCAGGCTTGGGTGGCAAGTACTCTCATCCCCCAGAGCCCTCTTTGGCTTCTGAAGCCATGCTACATCTTAGTGATTTATAGTCCTATAAAGGAGAGAGAAAAGAAAATAGAGGAAGGAGCGCTCTCCTGCAGAGAGGAGGGGTCTAGTCCTGCTGCAGTGTGTGTTTAGAGAGGACAGCAGAGGGAATTCCTCCCCGAATTCTTTCCCTGTGCTGTCACAAGTCAGGGTTTCTTGTAACCCAAGAAAGGGCTTCAAGGTCCACTGCTGATTCCCCACCCTCCAGCTCCTCCCGCCTCCAGGGTCCTTGAAGGTAACAGACACAGCCTCTGCAGAAGATGCTTGTGATTCATTGAGCTACTCAGAACATTTCTACAAACATATCTATGTTCATTCACAACACATTTTAAAAGATTTTTAAAAATTACGTGAATGTCTGTATATCTGTGGGTATACGAACCTGAGTACAATGCTCATGGGGGCCCAGAAGAAGGTGTCATATCCTTGGAGCTGGAGTTACAGTTGGTTGTGAACTCCCCAATGGGTAGCTGGAAATCAACCTTGGATCCTCTGCAAGGGCAGTATGAACCTCTGAACCATCTCTCTAGCCCCTTCACGCAAGACATTTACCTGTTCTGTTTGCATGACATCAAAGGCTACAGATACATGCATACTTTACACCTAAAATACACACATGTAAATATTACATGCAAATAATTAACATTTAGTGTCTGTAAATACTGTGTTTAAAAAGTTATAATTCATCCTTTTAGGTATTTTATTATTCTCCTTTACAGAAAAGGAGGAACACACGCAAAAGAAGGAGTTGAGCCTGGTCTGCCTGAGTATCGGGGCATATGCTAAGCTGTCATCCGATCCTGGCTCCACAAGGACAAGAAAACAGGGTGCTATCTATGGCTTGGATCCTTAGCTTCCTCCAAAGGCCTCAAGGCTTGGTCCCCGAGGATGATGCTTTTAAGGTTGTAGAAACTGAGAAGGGGGGGCCTCATGGGAGGTTCTGAGGCCACTGAGGCTGTGTCCCTGTGGGACCCCAGCCTCTTCCTCTTCTAGCTCTGTGGCTGCTGATGTAAGCAGGCTTTCGCTCCACAAGAAGCTTCCTATGCAATTTTTTTTGCTATAACGCAGAGCAATAGAACCAACTGGTCATGCGCTGTGAGCCCAAATAACCCTTTTCCCTTTGAGATTGTCTCAGTCGGCAAACATACCTGACAAGCAGAAGTTTGGGGGGTGTGGAGGGGGATGGTGGAATCTTCCTGGGGGTGCTGATGGGGAGGGACGTCCTCACTAAGGAGGTGATCTGTGAACTGGGAGCCTGAAGACAGCAGAGAATCGTGGTGGTGGGAGCCCCAGTGCTCTGGTAGCAGTGAGATATTTTCAGCGCTTTGTAGCCCGTACTGTGGCAGGGGCTCCAGGCTTTAGAGCTGTACGTTTGTACGTTTCCTTGTTGGTTCACACCTGAGCTTTTTTTTTTTTTTCTTTGTTAGTTTATGAGTGCCAAGTTGGTTTAACACATCCAAGCTTTTGAGGGCTATGTATGTGCTGGCTTCAGTCAGTTATTGTGTGTGCCCATGTGTACATGTGCATGTTTGTGTGGAGGCCAGGGGTCAACTTCTTTTGTTTTTTTTTTTTTTTGTTTGTTTGTTTGTTTGTTTTTTGTTTTTTTTTTCTTTTGAGACACTGTCTCTCATCTGACCCAGAACTCACCAAGTAGGTTTGGGTACCTGGTTAATGAGATATCTGCATGTGTCTACCAACCTAGGGCTGTGATCAGAAGTGTGTACCACTGTATCCAGCTTCTCTCTCTCTCTCTCTCTCTCTCTCTCTCTCTCTCTCTCTCTCTCTCTCTCTCTCCTCTCTCTCTGTGTTTCTCTATCTATCCCCCCACCCCACCCCCCCGTAGGTTCTGAGGATTTGAACTCAGGTCCTCCTCTTTGCATGGAAAGCTCTTTACCCACTGAGGTATCTCCCAGCCCTACATTGTGTTCTTATACTTTTGGTTGTCAGCCTAGCCTTTAACTGCTGAGCCATCCCTCCAGTCCTACACTGTGTTCAGCAATTCTGTGAGCGAGCTCTTTCTGCTTTCTATTCCTAGTGGGCAGTTAAGGGAGCTCAGACTCAGAGCTCTCTAGGCTGTGTATGCCACTGGTCTTATTAAGCAGGGGCTAGATTTGAACCCAGGCCTGTGTGAGCTCACTGATTTACCTTGATATCATTTGCAATTATTTAAAATGCCTTGCATATGGCATCCTTAGTGTTAATTTTTCTCGGGGAGATGTGAGCACACATCCAGTCACTCCAGACAGGGCAACAAGCACATATCAAAGAAAGGTTTATCTGAGGTTACTTAAAGGAACCTGGGGAACCTACAACATCTGCTTCACAGGTGTGTCCCACCCTGGCACTGGTGACAACCCCTCAAAACTGCATAGATGGGACTCCCCCCCCCCCCCCAGCTAACCTTGACCTCCTTTGTGCCTAATACCTTCCTGAGGACACTTGCAGAGGGGTCAGAATTACATATAGCTGGAGGGGCACAGGCAGGAGCGGCTAGAATTTTAGTTGAGGGTCTCACGGCCCTCCCCCTTCCCTCTTTCTGTGAGGGACTGTCAACAGGCTTGATCTTTGGAGGGGCTGATTGGGTAGTCACAGCTGTACTGATTAATATAGTAATGGCCACACTAAGTCCCAGGGACTTGCACAATACTTAGCAACCAACACAATCCTGCATAGCCTTTTCTTATTGACTCAAGGCCGTCATGGGGAGCACAGACCATCGTCTCTGCTCTGAGTTTGAATGTGGGAAAGGGACCTAGTTATCTCTTGGGCTATCACTGTCTGGCCTGCACCGCTCTGCTATACTTTGAGGGACTGTTAAACTTTATGGGGTGATGGAGTTTTATAGCACTATAATAGCTCTGTCTGTTCTGTCCTTAGAAACTTTTTTCTTTGTTATCTAAGGCAGCTGCCTGCCCATCTATTTCTATAACCTCCACATATCCATACCGGTATCCCCTGCTCTATCCCCAAATAAAGGCCACAGAGGAAACTAGAGATGCTCAAATGAACCAGACCTGAACAGAGCCCAAGAGAGACAAGATGCCAGGTTCCGAGGGTGGGCGTAGGGATGAGTTTGCCTCTCTGCACAGCAGTCCAAGCAGGCAGAGTGGAATTTCCACACAAACTTGTGAACTGGGGCTGCGACTAAGTCTTTTTATAGCCTCGTGTCCTGCCCATTCCCACTAGGTCAGTTTACAGGATAGGGACAAGAGCTAGAAACTTCCAGATGTTACCCTGGACCCTATTGGGTGATATGGGATTGAAAAGGTCCTTGGGAAACACGGCTCATAAATTAAAAGAGCCTCCAAGGACTCAGACCATTCTCTGAGACGGCCATTAAAAGTGGCCGTTTGTTTTTGACAGTAAAAGCCATTACATCTCTGTAACATTTTACTGATAATTAATATATTACTTGTAATTTTATTGTACTTTTTGTTGTAGCTTAGCCCGGCTTCAGTCTCCTGATTGCTGGGGTTATAGGCATACACCACCTTACCTGGTGTGGCACCGATGTTCCCATGGATTCCAGGTGAGTGGTAGCTTGAGTGTTTCCTCTTTTCCAAGAGCGTGAGATCCAGTTCTACAGAAGGAGCTCTGTGGGCAGATGGATTCCCCGACCCATCTCTGGCTTCACTGCACGTGTACCACACGGCTGTTTTTCTTAGAACGTGGTCCCTGAGGGTGCCGCTGACTTAGCTAAGGATTGAGGATGACAAGGACAGAGGACTCTATTGCACACACCCTCCAAACCGCAAGTGCATTTATTAAACCCTTGTCTTAGAAAGTCCCCTGGCCGTTTCTACTAACCCAGATTTCTGCCGTGTGTACTAGCCGTTCTATACCCTGCTCGTCAGCTTGCCCATTGATAGGTTTCTTTTCCCACATGCTTGAATTTCTTAGCAGTTTCTGCCCAGTTTGTCTCTTATTTCACCCCCTAGACCCCAGCTTTACAGACTTGGGGCTCTCCAAAACTCTATTTCACTTTGTATGTGGAGAAAACAATTCTGTAGCCTCCCAACCTCCACCTTGCTAGATTTTTTTGTCCTTCCATCCAACCCCACTCATTCACTCATTCACTCATCTATTCAACAAGAAGTAAGCAGCATCCTCAATAACACACCATACCTGGTGCTAACGAAGAGACAAAGATGAGTGGATCCAAAGCCCGCGACTCCAGGTTCTAGAGCTAAGGTCTAGGGGAAGAGATAAGAGGAACCATAGCAGAAGGCAGGGGGTGCTAAGCCTTCAAGCATGTGGAGAGGGAGGTCTTGCTCTAGGCAGGCTGATGAGAGGGTGCAGCAGAGCTTGTTTGGGCCCTTTCTGCAAGGTGTGGGCAAAGGCATCACATCTGAGGCAGGGAAATGTCTGGGAACCTGCAGGGACCATTTGGGTCGCATGGAAGCCTGAGTATTTGAGGTGAGTTGTGAGGCTCGGTGAGGTCCTTAGATTAATATCCCTCCCCCTCCTTCCCTTCAAATCCTGGCTCTCTTCTCAGGCAGGGTTAGAGCGGGGGGGTGGGGGGGGATGAATGCCTTCCTACTCTTGGGCAGCAAGAACCTCAGGCCACTTTTAAAACTATTTTAAGACTTATTTTTACTTATGTGTTTGGGTGTTTTGTCTGTATGTCTGTACACCACATGCATGTAGTGCCCACAGAGACCAGAAGAGGGAGGCAGAGATCCCCTGGAACTGGAGTTACAGATGCTTGTGAGCTACCACGTGGTGCTGGAAACCAAACCCAGGTCCTCTGGAAGGACAAAGACTTTTTTTAGCAGTTTAGAGCGCTGTGCAAGGCCCCAAGGCTTCTACAGTAAGATTTAAGGCAGCAGAGACTGGATAGGTAGGTGAGGCCAAGAGAGCCATTCTGGCCCCTGTGTGTTTCTGTCCTTTGTTCCTTCTGCTCTCACATCTCAACAGGAAAGGGAGGGATGAAGAGAAAGAGTTTTCTGGGGGAAAGCCCTCTGCCTGGCTCAGCCGCTCCCTGCCATCTCAGCAGTTGACATACTTTGAGACCCCTCATATGGAGGGTTGAGGACAGATCCATGGTGCTCACATGAAAGAATGCCTTTCCTACATCCCAAGAGTTGCCTGGATTTGTGCTTCTGTGTTGTTGGCCTTTGGAAACTTTATAGATGTATTTCTCTTTCTCTTCTGTAAAAACAGACTCTAAATTACATGAGCGTCAGTGTTTATCCAAATGCTGACTTCCTGTGGTATGGAGATGTGCCATTCTTGGATACTTGTCTGGGCACACTGTGTGACTGTGACTGCATACTTCATCACACACACACACACACACACACACACACACACACACACACA